ACAGCGAGTTAAGTCCGGAGAACGAGAAGGCCACAGAACTGGTCCATTTCTACCAATGCACTTGCTTGCAAAATGCACATTTAACCACTGGATAACATACGTTGAAGGTGGTATGGGTCCAATCCTTGGCCATACAATAAAGGTCGAAATACCCATACAAAATTCCAATAGACGAATGGTAACATTGGGTTCTTCGGCAACAACATCATGAAATTTCCCGAAATCACGTAGGTGTTCAACTGCTGCAGTAAATAATATACATAGGAGGGATTCTACATCCTCAGCTACGAAACGTCCTCGTTCTTTTCAAATACAAGCTTTATACATTTACGTCACCTAAGTACAGCTCGGTGTGAAATTAACACAGTTTTCTACTGTACAACGTCTTATCTAAAGTTTCGACGTTACGTTACGCTATGTTATTTCCAGACTTCCGCAGGTAGCCATAGTTTACGCACAAGGCCTAATGAATTTATACACGACCTGCCCATCGACGCTGTGTGGAGCACCCCAGTTCGAAAAAAAATCGTGCCGAACTTACATTAAAAAAATTGGCCTACAAGGTTTTAAAACATTCATTATTCATTAAATTGTTGATGATCAAAATTTGAACACGTTCAAAATTGGGAATAAATCAAAACTGTTTATGTAGTTCTTACTATATATATCTGACCGCATTCATTTGAAATTTGTACTCCGATGCGAAAACTGCAAAGTAAACAAATTTTCATTATATCACCCTAAAGCAAATAAAGAAGTTACATGACGTTAAATTATATGTTAAATGAAGTTACTAGTTAAATTAAAACGAATTCATCAAAATAACATCATGAACAGAATTCCTCATTTCATAAACAAAACACATTAAATAAACACACCAAGTACAGAATAAATATTGCCGAAATACGGAATGGGACTATTTGGCGCGGCCGACTTGGCGCGGCCAACTTGGCGCGGCCGACTTGGCGCGAGCCATTTTGGCGCAAGGCCAACTTGGCGCAGGGACACTTTGGCGCAAGCAATCTTGGCGCGAGCCATCTTGGCGCGAGTACGTCGGTATATAATATAAAAAATATTTATTTTTTGTATCGTGGTTTGCACCCTGTTATTTATGCTAAGTGTAGGCAACCAAATACACAGTTTCATTCGCACAAATTCCAATAACTAAATGATCCACGGAGCAAGAAGTTCCACGTTTAGGAGTATGTTTATAATGGGGTGCAGGGCGCGAAGCGCCCGTGTGTCCATTAAAAAGTCGCCATTACCCCTCCACGCATTGGAGACCCTAAAAAATTAGGTTATGCTAACAATGGGTACAATTTTTGTATAATTATATCCATTTTTCTTGGTGCGAGTTCATTCGCGCCAAGATGGTCCACGCCAAGATGGCTTGCGCCAAAGTGTCCCTGCGCCAAGTTGGCTTTGCGCCAAAATGTCTCGCGCCAAGTCGGCCGCGCCAAGTTGGCCGCGCCAAGTCGGCCGCGCCGAATTGTCCTAGACCGCAAATGAGAATTATAAATCCAAATAATAATTTAGGAAAAACTATCCAGCACTTTGATTATATCATAACTAAAATATTTACTCCTGACTAAATGAGTTTCTGTTACATGTTATAAATAAATATTTTCATCGCTAAAGTAATTAATTAAACCGTAAATCAAATCTGGAAATAACACTCTAAATAACACAAATCTGTCTAAAACTCGGAACAGAAATGTTACAACAATGCGGACAAAAATTAAAATGGATAATTTTGATAACGATTTATCACCTTAAAACGTTTGCAAAAGAGCATTCGATTGTGCGGTTTCAAAGTTAAATAGCAAAATGTTGTTATAGAATTTTTTTTTCTGAATGTCTATGGTAAAAAATCAACACGAATTCATAAACCACAGATGGAAGAGTGTCTTACTTTATAAAACTTAAACAGTATTTACTACTGTAAATTTTACAGATGCGTCAGAGAAAAATTGCGTTGATAACGTTATTTCAAAGAAGATCCAGAAGGACATAAACATTGTGGGGGTAATTCACCTTCATGCATGAACCAAGAAAGATGGTGTGCTAAAGTTGTAATTTTGAAAATTAACGTTAATGTTAATGTCAATATCTGTTTTGACGTCCCATTCGCCACACATGGTCTCTCAGTGTTTGACACATTATCTATAATTTTATTACCAATATACCAACATCACAAGAAAATTAGGTAAACACTCTGTGTATCATTTCCTTTCAATAAAGAATTTTTTATTTGTTAGCTGGTATCAGGAGAAGGTTATTCACTTCACATAAGAGCTACCCATGTACCGTTATTAAGGATGCAAAAAAATTATACTAAACCAGTATATTATATTCTTGCTTTAAATTACTGCAATGTTAGCTTATGACAAGCATTGTCGTTGTCATTTGATTATTTAGATTGAAAATGGCATTTATCTATTGAGACGTACGTACAATATCCCAGATTTAGTTATCTCGACAACAATCTACTTATTACTTAAGCTATCCATGTACTATTTTACATATAAAGTCGATTCGATATAAAGTATGCTTTTCCAAGACTTATTCCGTTTTTACGACATCTCCCTTCATCTTTTCAACAGGCCCATTCAGCTGACGCTTGCCGCAAGCATAACTGTTGGATCGGTCTTCCAATAGGGGTTTAAAAAGGGTGTACTATTACAATTAAACGGTTTTGGAAATGCTGTAGTTTCTAAAACGGGAATTAAAGCAAAAAATAAAAATAGTATTTTTCAGCATTATACGCCATAATTCACCACCATTATGTTAAAGTATGCAGATATATAAAATATAAAATTATATCTAAATCTAAGTGTCTTAATTATTTTTCTTGGATGGTGTCTTCTTTAAATATCTTTTAATAATGTTTTTTAAAATTTAGAGACTAATTTAGACTTTTAAAGAAATTCTATTTACCGTAATGATTTATTGCTTAAGGCTTTTACATATTTCATTAGATCGAGATTCGAGAGGCAGACATTTTAAGATAGCAGAATATTATTATATTAGTAGTACTTAATTAATATTATTGTTATATTATTCTTAGTAATCAAAAATTCAACAATTAAATAATACATGTTTTGTGTTAAAATGTTAACAACATTTCTCTACTACAAATGACAGTACCTTTTTCGGTTCCGAAAATCACCTTTTAACCGTATGGTGTGTTTGTCTTTTGTTAGAAAAATTAATTTAAAATAATTTCTTTGTTTCAACAGTGTTTTTGTTCTTGTCACACAACGCAAAATTTAATGTAATATTTAAACCGTATATTGATTTGTGTCCACATTTTTTCCTTGTCCGAATCTAAATCTGTAGAATGATTTTTGAATAGTAAAAGCTGTAGAGATCTAACAATTAATGTTGCAATCATGCGACTAACTTTCATCATGCTACATGAGCAGTGTGATGATGATGACGTACGAGCTCATATAAATTTGATATTTAATAGTCCAAGCACGAGTGTTGCATTGATAGATATTTTTATTTAAAACTTCCAACATTTTCATGAACTCGCCATGGTTTTAAAATTTATATCCCAACTAGCTAAACTTCATGATCACGCCATTATACGACACAAATACATACAAATAAATTACATCAATTTTAAGATTTGCGACAAATTTACATCAAAAATCGTGTCCGAGAAATCCAGTAGCTTGTTTGCATGCCCTAGGTTGGTTCTCATCTGCCAATTAAACCATCTCCAATTGTCTTATTTAATTTTCTTTGTGTTTACTTTGTCTCGGATTTCATAATTCCTGACTTCCCAGCTTTCCTGTTTTCATTTCATTATTACAGAACGTTGAAAGTTGCAAGCTTTTAATGAAAATAAAGCCCACCAACTTTTAATAACAAGAATAGCTCATTTAATGTAATTATTTTAAATGTGACTGGAAAATATTTCCCGTGTTTTTGTCCTCTCTTGTTTACCCAATCTAGCCTCTGTAACAAAATATCAATTTCAGCGTAAATTTTTCGTTCTGAGTAATTTTTAATTGCCTGTGAAACCTGATGAAAAATGAAGCGTTAGTGAAACTGAACACACGAGACGTGGTTGAAGTATACTCATGTTGTGTTTACAGAAAGTGAGTGCTGAATCGATTAAACCGCAGAATACGTTGAGTAATTAAAGCCAAAAGTTTTCAGATCGATAACCGAATTAATGGCGTATCTATAAAGAATCCAGGTTCAAAAGCTCTCACGATTGCACTTAAAGGGCATAAGCCTTGCAAGGATGTAGACTTTATGTATAAAGTAATTTTCTTGATTTGAAACCTTATTGACAAAGAACTTCATTAATTTTCAAGAGCAGACGAAATCTTTTTCCGCTTTGTGCAAACATCCATTGTTTTTGTTTAAAGAAAAGTGCGTAATTAATTATTAATTAAATATCAGTTTTTAATTAATTTGCTTTTCTTGGAAAGGTTAAAAAATTTAATTACGTACATAACTTTAGCCCTGTCTCTACGGTCTTGTCTATAAGGTACACAAAATCCCCAAGTTGTTGTTCGAGAAAATCGCGTCTCTTTGGCAACGAAAACAACTTTCACAGTCTCCTTTGCTCTTTTTATATAATACCACTTTGGGTTTATTAATTTTAAAACTAATCTGACTGAAGACCAAACCGAATGATTAATGTTTCAATTTATAGGCAAAACACGAAAATAATTCGGAGCTTTCGAAAACTGCGGACATAAAAATGGACATAAAATTTTATGTTCTCGAACTGGGATGACCCACTTTATACTATTGTTTATGTCCGCTAATAGTTTCGTATCGATATTTAGATTTCAGGGATGACTTCTAGAGCATAAATTCACCAACCATAAATGGTATCATAACCTACTGAGTTGCTTTAGTGAATCATTCCATTAAATTAAACTCCAACCGTCCCTTTTTATTTCTCTTGGAGAATTACATAGTAAAATAAAAAATAAGAGAATGCAAAACGTTGAATTACTCTGTTTGTTTGGCAGTATATGGTAGATAAACAAGTAAATCCTTGCTGATAGACGTTCATCTCTCAAAAACCAACTAGCAAGTTTCCGGTAAGTGATTGACATCGCTATTTCCGGATTTTTCCTCGACGCTAAAAAGCAATTTAATGATTTCTCCAAGACATCAGTACATAATCAAATAACTCTGAATGTAGATTTTTGTTACGGTTGTGTCAACGGTATATGAGTGAAAGGTGTTTAATTTAATACAGAGCCTTTTCGTAAATTACAGTGTTTTAAATGTCATACATAAAAGTTTCAATTTGCAATATTATATACAATTTCAAAATTAAAATTATATAACTATTACAATACAATTAATTAGTTTAATGGGTTTTAAAAAACTGAAAAATATGTTTACGCAGTCTCTATGGACGTATCTTAGGTATCCTTATTGTACAAAATACGTAATTATCTGTATGACAATAATAAATACCTGCTGCACAATGTTTTCGTAGAACGGATTATTTTACATTTCATAATGTATATGTGGTTTATAAAAACAAAACATAAAACGTATGTTGCTAAGAACATTTGTACATTATATGTTGTTAGAAACCAGTTTTATAAGAAAAATGGCAAAGTGAAAGTCAATATCTGTTCTAGGGAAAAGTAATGATTTGGTGACGTTGAAGACGAAGTAACATATCCTGTTCTGAATTTGAAAACCTTATAAGCTGTTTATGAATTGTGTTTATTCTGCGTCATATATTAGATACTGTCTTGTTCTGAAACCGTTTCTGGATTGTGTTTAAAACCTTATTCTACGTGATGTACCAACTCTGAGCACCCGTTTTACAGATTACTTAAAACACAGACGTAACACAGAGATTCGATTAGTTTGTAATAATTGTCGAAAAACTTGGATATTCTCACGATCAAGGCTTGTTAGCTGAACTAGCTGCATGGTCAAGAGTCCAGTTCGATGGTACGTTGGTACGTTCTTCAAACCCAGGACGTTTAAGTGCGATGGTACGTTGTTAAAATGGCTCTGAAGAACCCGAAAAAAATGGTTAAAAAAATCCGTGAACCAAATTTTTGAAAATATTAAACCTCAAATTTGAAAAATTAACTCCGTAACCGATATTAAAATTAAATTATCAATAAATAATTATTATTTAAGTGTCCATTAGATATGCAGCTCATTAAAACAAATCAGAATTAGGAAGTCAATTCTTCAACTTTTAATATTTTCAAAAGGTTGGTGGAGAGGTTTTTTTTAACCATTTTTTGCGAGTTCTTCAGAGCCAACGTACATAGGTATGCGTCATTTTTTCAGCACCCCGCATTACTTCAAGATCACTGAGGGGCTTTTTTTGCTATAAAAAAAACTATGAACTAAATATGAAACCTTTGTGAATGTTTTTTTTTGTCAGAAAATCAGCGAAAAAATTGTTTTCATTAGTTTTAAATTTGTAATACACTTGTATCACAAAGCCGTAAATTAGGCTTTTGCGAATACAAATGAATTTGTCCGGTCGAGCCCATAGGCGTGGCTTGCAAATAACAAGTATTCGCAAAAGCATCTTCTGGGCGAGCGATACATAAGAATTTTTTTGGGGATTTTTATATAAATAAAATTTTTATTGATTTTATTGTTTGTAGCTGTAGGTAAGTAATTCTGGAAATGACAGTGTATAAACAATTTTCCATAAACGAAAGGTAATTGGCCCACCCCGACGACTGAAAACCGCGAATTCAATTGTCATTTGATGCTGGACATTTTTTTCTTGCCTTTTTTTTACATTACACACATGATTTGCTTTATTTGCTCCTAACATAGGATGTATTTATTTTAACAGTTACCTTACATTTGGTATTCTAGCACAGAAATTAGAAAATTCGCAGATAACCCCACTTGCCAGTGACAGAACAACAAATAATAATACCTACTAATATCGATAATAATCATAAAATATACCTAGATTTTTTTAAGGACAAGTCCAGTAATTTTTGATTCCTTGCCCGCTAGAAACGTATAAAAGACCAGTGATGCATCCGGAGGTACAAACATTTTTTTAGAATATATCTGTATTATTAATGAAAATTAATAACAAGTCACTTCCGAACATGTTAAGGAGTAATGGGCCAAGATTTATAACCCTGTGGAACGCAACAATTAGAGGTAAACAGTTACGTTGGAACATAATACACGAGCACACATAATTAACGCGGCTGTTAACGTAGTAGCGAATTAATTGTAAAAGTGAATTCTAGAAGCCGAAGCCAAAGTACTGGGTTGAACAAGCATAATTCTGTAGACCTTAGAAATCAGTATAAATGACAGCAGTTTGATCTTGGTTATCGATCGCCTAATGCATAAAGTGATGACAGTGGATCTAACATTTTAAGAAACCATGTTATTATGGTGATATGCATGCTGTAATAAATTCTTTTCTATGGTAGTTACCCCTTCACCTTCTAGAAGTGCGATAAAATAGAATTGTTTTGTCCAATAGTTGTGGATGAATTGAAAACATTTTTTTTTTTATGAACGTGAATCACCATGGCAGTTTTCCGACATTCAAAATATTTATTTTTAAGGAGAAATTATTGGGGAATCCGGTAAAGCAAAAACAAATTTAAATACAGTCCTAAACAAGAACACTTGAGATTAAATCATCATCGGTTGTTAATTTATTAGTGAATATTCTTCATAGTGAAATTATTTGCTTTTGGCTAACTGGATAGACTGGGAAATATGAAAAGACTTCATAACGAGATATATAGGAAATCGCTGAATTATTAGTTTGTGCTTTTTAAAAAGACTTTGCAAACGCATTAGCAATTCCCTGCGGATCAGTATTTGTATTCAATATATTACTTATTATTAGTTATAGAACTAAAAATTCTAGACGTTCCCTTTCTGAGATTTAAGAAGTTGTATAATCCAGGATTTGATTGTAAGTTGCTCTTCACATGCTTAAAGTATCCATAATATACAGTGTTTAACTTTTACGGGGAACATCTCTTATATTCTTTAGAGTAAATATTATATTCTTGGTTCAATTATTTACTTCTAAAAAATGTCTATGATTTTATATTACTTTTAATGTCATTCATAACCCAAGTTGGAAATTTATAAGGTGAATAAAGAGAGACTTTGGAATATTTTAATTTAGAAACAAATAGATATCGTTACGTTGATCGGTGATTAAAAATCGACGTGGGTAAAACTCAACAATTTATTTCTCAATAACTCAAATTTACACGACTGATTACACAGCGATTATGTACAAAATAATTCCGGTGCAACTTGGGTGGACTCTGTCTTCGCTCAACTCGATTTGTTAACTGAATAATCCTCGATTCCTCGTTCCCGACGGTGGCCTCTATTTATGCCTATACGTTCCTCTCGGTGGCTCGAGAACGCCGCTCGGCCACCGTCACCGCTTCTAGTTTTGTCTGGAGCACACATTCGGGACTTCCGCTTCCAGGATCTTCTCCGGCCGCCGGCACCAACAATGAGTCATCATCGCCGTACATCCCAGAAAGCTGTCGACGGCCCATAGGTGTCGTACCGGGGCGGCGTATGGGTTTATTTCGTAACGATATAGAAATTGTCCAGCACAATATTCTGGATTCTAAATTTTGGGTGCTGACTGAAGCCAGTCAGCATTTAGGACTCGCCTTTAGGCCCATTATACATTTTCATACTAGTGACAAAATTCTTTAATTTAGAAAAATTAAAATTTTCCAACGAGTGCTGCCTTGTAAAAATCATTTATATATCCTCCGTATTTGATTCGCATACTAAAAATCTTAGAAATTTGGATTGCGAGTTCAGGAACGTCTCTGAGAATATGAAAAAGTATCTTACTATGTTTATTTCTCGCAGTACCCATCTGCAAAGAACGATTGACAGCACAAAAATCTTTAAAGACGTGAGCTTGATTCTTCGTAACTACACAGACTGAAAACCTGAGCTTGATTTTTTAATCGTTTTATTTCCTGACCGTAAGCCAAGGAAGTATTGTAATCGAGTCTATCAGACGACAGGCTACTTTCATGTTTTCTGGTGTACGAAATAATAGATCTCTCGTTTCCGTCTATTTGTCTGCCGGCTGCCGTCTGTTATCTGTCGTCTGCCATATGTCCGCTTTTATGTCTATTTGGCTAATCATCCTCACCAACAATTTGATGACACCATCTCCAAAATTTACAACAGTAAATTTGTTCTTATTTTTATAAAATAAGATAATTGTGGTGTATGAATTCTTGTTGAGTTTTCACCTTAGATGTTCGATTTTTGAAGAAAAATCAAAATTGTATAACAAAAGTTTGCAATTTAACCTTCAAACTGCAAAACTAAATGCTCTGAAAACTTGTAAACGTTTTAAAGTTATCGTAATAACAGTAAATCGTTACTTAAAATTTATTCATTTATCCCTCACAAAAAATGTATTACGTTATCTCAAAATTTTGACGAATAAATCCTCTCTAAAATATGCAAAAAATATTAGGACTCTATACTTGTGGTTTATCAATGCATTCATACTTTTTAGAATTGCTTATACAGGGTAACTCAGAAAAATTAATGAATTTTTCCCGAAAATTTGGGAATACAGTACTGTTATTATTAGTACTTATTACACTGCATCTATCCAAATTGATATACATGTCCTTGCAAAAATATTAATAACGTCATCACTACTCATCACAAAATCGTGTATGGAAAACCTCACTTGAAACAAACGCGTAGCATGCTTTTTATCTTTTCTTTAACATTGCATACGTATCTTTATCTGTATTTATTGTTTTGTAGTCTGTAGTTCAGGGGCGTGAGTAGTTCTGTCGAAATAACCTTCGACCAATTTTTTGAAGTTGCATTTGTTCAATTATATTCTAGGGGCGAAGGAAGTTCTGTCGGAATAAAGTTCGAGCAATATTTTACACTTTTTTTTATAACTATCCATCTGCTAATTATTATTATATGTATTGGTTTCTGTTACGCTAATATTCTATCAAATATTGGCAACAATGGTTATATTCGTATATAATTGAGGATAGAGTAAGATACATTTAAAAATTAATTACATAAAAATAAAAGA